ATGACCATACAGAGTGGTCAATGGTTTGGGTGAGAATACATTTTGCGTATTCAATTGTGTGACCGCCTGCAAATGCGCCTGACCTGTGAGTGCATGCATTGGAATGTTTGTGCTGGCCTGCGCGCTGCCATACTGTTGACTCTGTATGCTCCAAACAATGCAAGTGCAATCGCGTGAACCGGTCACTAAGTAGGAACCGCAATTGTCCAACGCCAGGCAGGTGATAATGTCTAACGAGGAGGAGCAGAATATGCAAACAGTTAAATATTTACAAAAGCTTGAGAAGCGATCGATCGCTCATTGAACGACATTTATGCACACACCTAAATGCCGCGTTACAGATGCCACCGCCTTGCCTTTGTGTAAATTATATACACGCAGCGAATTATCCCAAATGCCACCCGCGTATAGCAGTTTACCATCTGTGCTCACAGCGAATAATTGTGAGTGTGGATTTTGGGAAGGATGAAAGGGACCGAATATGCGTTTACGATTTCTACAAAACAAAGGGGGACGTTAGATTTAGGTGTAACAAGGCAGCAATTAATAACACCCACTTCAAGTTCGTGGTTGTCGCATCGATTTCCAATAAAAATCCACGTTCTTTGTCGTACGACATCCATGAGTTCGCACCGAGTATGCAAGATTTGGATATGCTGACGAGCACATCAGGGCTGAGCTGTAGAAATGAACGTGGCGGACTACGCGGTGCGCTTAGGAAGACAATTGGATCTTTTGGCGTTGATAGCTCACAATAGTATTGCACAACCTTATCGAGAAATTGCGTCAAATCTGGTCGCTTCAACTCGGCGCGCACCAATTTCAACGCAGTCTCTTCCTGTGTCAAACGACGCGGATGTGGTTCACGCAATAACTGCGATGGCACTTGACCAAAGTTGTTGATCATACCCTCAACTGCCTCACGCTCGACCGGGTTGGTTATTTTATCCAGATCTACGGCACCTTCATAGGAGCAATAGTAGAAAACGTTGAGCGCTTCGACAGCTTTAGGTCCCTTTTGCTTGTAGCTGTGGGAAGAGGAAACAGCAGAAGTTATTACATAGCTGAAGGTACATATTTGCGGTAATATCAAACTCACCCAAAAATCAAGTCGATCCAATGATGCAGATTTTGACTAACATATTCCGATTCTAAAGCACGTCGGTGGATGGCAATAAACTCTTCGGGTGTGGTGGCCCAAGGCGGCAGTATGACATCGTCTACTTTCTCTTTTGTTATTTGTAAGTGACCCAAATCGAATCTGAAATTAAATTATTTGTGTAAAATCTTTCAAAAAAGGTGTTTCACAAATAATCATGCCCCTTACTTATTCATATTTTTCAGAAATTCAGGAAAATAAAAGAATTCCGGTATCAGCTCCTTCACATCATTCGGATTATCCATTAACAATTTCCATGTTTGTGGTATCGAATGAAATTGCCGATCTGCCACATCGAAACGACCGCTTTGTAGTTCAATGTGTAGCGAGGTAAATGGTTCGACGCGCAGCAAATAGTGCAAGACGCCACCTGAATTCGAATAATGTGTGCCATAATGGAATTTCGGTATTGCGCCAGAAGGATCTTCAAATGATTCATATTTGATGCGAACACCAGCTTCATTTTTGGGATTTATCTAAGGCGAGAGAAATCTTTTAAGAATTTTCAATACACACACACATGAAAAAAATACCCCCAACTTACCACACCGACAGGCTTGGAGAGATCACGAAATGATTTTGGATCAGTCAAGTCCAAAACATCACTGGTATAGTCGGATAATATCCAGGGAAATACTGGATACTGACTGAGGTCGTTGTAGGAGCGACCTGTTAAGTAAAAGGAAATTTGTTGTGTATGCAAATATGTATAAAATAATTCAGCGCATAACACACCTGCAATTGTATTCAAGTACATAAGATATTCGAAATTTGAAATCTCGCGATTAACCCATTTCTGCGTGAGTCCTGAAGTGCGCAACAACTCTCCTGGCGAACGTCCAGAGCCATATAAGATGTTTGGCGGCTGCAGGCTTAGAATTTTTGTGAAAACTTTGTTGCGAGTCTGCGCGAAAAGTGTGTAGAGCAATTAAAATGTGCAGTGAAATTAAAAAATGCGCATCGACGCGCAACTCACCTTTGTGGTAAAATTCAAAAAATAGCTGGTTTGATCTATCAGAAATATTTCTAAAGCACTGCGCCGCAAATTATATTTACGTAAATGTACCTCGCGTATCTTGCTGATGGGGAAGCTGAAAAAGGTAAAAAAAAAACATATATATGTATAAATCAATAAATATTAATTTGTTCGTTTGTAGGACTACTCACCGAAAATCGTGCTTGGAACCATCATCCGATGGCGGACTCAGGTCGATGAATGTAAAAAGCGTTTGATTAACCTCAATTTTACCCTTCACTTTGGTCATCAGCGTGATGAGTTCACAATCCTGTGAGATAACCGATTTCTCTAGTGGTACATCCTGTTGGGATTGCGCTTCAATCGACTGCCGTAGCTCTTCTTCGAGTTGTAAATTCTCATCATCGGCCAAGAAGTCACGCACCACGGCATTCTTTATGGTCGAATCGAATTCCGAGATTTCTCTATAGAAAATATTTTTGTGTATTAATTGTATACATTTAAATATGATTCTTTCTCATCCCTACCTTGGATCGTAGGCATTTGTGGCATTATCGCGTAAATTCGCCGCATTCTCGTGCTTATTCGGATACAATTGCGGTTCGAGTTTTAGGCGCATGCGTGCAACATTCTCGTGATTTGCGAGCATCCAATATTCTTCATCTAAATTACTGCAAGTAGTTGTGGTGAGAATTTGTATTATGTATTTGTTTTTGTACTATTTATTTAAGTGTTTTGCATGTTACTAAATACCGCGTATAAAAGTATTTATGTAGTTAGTTTTACCTAATGAAATACGGCGTACAAAAGTACTAAGAGACATTGGCTTCACCATCTACCGCGTTGTAAAGTACTTAAAGTTTTTGGCTTCACCAAATACTGGAAACTTAGTAATTATGACTTCTTGATTAAATATTAAATATGTACTCGCAATTAACTCAGTATAAAAATTTTTTATTGAAAATAAAGAATTTGCGAGATTTTTGAGACTACTTCGGGATTCTCGGAATAGTTTCAGGATTTTCCAGACTAAGTAGATGCTTCGAGATTTTAAGGCCGGTTTGGCGTTTTTGGACTACTTCTCGATTTTCGGGACTACCTCGGGATTTTCGTGACTTCGGGATACTCGGGACAATTTCGGGATCTTCGGAAATACGTCCCTATTTTCGTGATTTTTTCGGGGCATACTCGAGATTTTGGGACTACTTCTCGATTTTCGGGACGGTTTGGGGATCACCTCGGTATTTTCAGGTTTCGCGAGATTCATTCACGATTTTCTTGACTACCTCGGAATTTTCGGGACTATTTCGGATTGTTGGGACTACTTCTCGATTGTCGGGACTGTTTCCAAAATTTTGGGAGTATTCTTTGGGATTCCATCTCGATTTTCGCGATTTTCGGGACTGCTCCTCGATTGTAGTGACCGGTTCGGGATTTTTCGGACTAATTATAGATTGGCGCTTATACTTGGGATTTTTCGGAATACATACATATAACGGGATTTTCTGAACTAAAATTTATTTGTAATATGCTTCGTCGTGTTGAGCAGAGATGAGTCGAGACGCGTTGAAGTGGAGTGAGTTAAGATAAATTGATTTGAGATGAGTTCAGTGAGGTCAATGTAAGGTATTTAGTGTTTAAGAATTTAGCCATTGACTAAATACCTTAGTACTTTATTGGAAGTAATTGCAATCTCTAAGGTATCTAATTACTTTAGATCAAGGTAATTAGCAACTGTTAAATTCTTTATTTATTTTTTTTAATTTAGTATAAAGGAACTCCTAACCACTAATTTTTTTATTTTAGTATTTCGCAACTCCTAAATAGCCATTCCATTTCGCTGTGACAGTTCTGTCGTGCAGCATGCGGCAGATAATCCTAAGTAGTCCGGATAATACCTTATGTAAAGCTCCCCGGTATTAAGGAAGGCACCAACTGCAATATCTCAATCGCTCTCGAGGAAACCTGTTTCCTGTGCTATGTAGAGCTTAATCAGTCTCTCAAGAGTTTTCAATAGGAAAGGGGGAGGCTGAGTGGTTCGAAGTCCCTCAGAAATACGTTATCCTCACACTCCTTCAAGTTCCTGAGATTACCCCCTTTCTAAGCAGCGACACGAGATCTCTACACACTTTTTCAGTTTCGCCGAATAATGCCAGTCGGTCCAGGGGACTTGCAGGGCTTGAAAGAGTTAATCAGCGCATCTCGTTGGGTGCTTTTCTAACGACCAAGTTTCCATAATAGCTAAGATGTTTTATGTTATGTCGCTCAGGGAAAAAGTGTATTTACCACCGCAATTAAGACTAGGTCTTAAGCTGCTCCAGGTCTTTTTTTTGCGTATTTTGAGGTAAATACATACTTGTCCCATCTACGCTTTGGTAGTTGTTGTGCCGAAAAGAATACATTTTACCAAAAGCGGCGTTATTCCAACTTCTAATAGGGATTTACCGATAGCCACCGGTGATCATTGATGGTACGAAAAACAATCCCTAAGGCTAGTGTTTTGATAGCATTCGTATAAATTTGTATATCCAAAGATCTGCCTTTGGAGTAGACATATTGATAGTTTGATAGATTTTTGTGATTCAGCTGCTTAGCCCATGGCCTAAGAAAGTTCAGCGGCTTATCTGAGGGTAGCAGATGAATGTGACCAAGCTGCGACCACACAAACATATTTTGCGAGGCTATGAGTCTTGCGACCGCCAGTTTGCCTCTTAAAGTTATTTCCACTTAGAACTCTTATACTATAGTCTGGAGTCTGCACATAGATAAATGGCCTAGATCTCTATTTGAAGGAAGCTGGTGTATTTCCCTAGAAGATCAGCGAACTTGGTAACTTAATATGGCCATAAGTCCAATTAATTGTTTATCAATTTTTTTTTATTAACGATGAAAGTTTTCAACAAAGACAATGAGTATTTCTAGTTTATTTACAAATGGATGTCCCCTGTTGAATTGCCTTGTTCCGCCCATATTTGGCGCGCACAGCGCTCCTCATTCAATCGGCAAGGCAATCGCAACTCAACAATTAGCTGACATTTGGACAAGAGGGTGTCGGTACGTTGGTAATCGATAGGTCAATGGTCAATAATCCGGCCTGTTTCCTTCCGTGCGGCTTAAACAACAACTGGTGCTGGCGCGGCTACAATGGGGGCAGCAAGAGACTTGGCAGCGACGACGGGTGCAAGAGCAGCCACCGGCACATCCTTCTGTACGACAGCATTGAAACCGTTGATGGAATCAGCGTAGTAGTTGACAATACGACGGGAACCATCGGGTTCGATGAGCGAGTATGAGCCGCGTACGATATCACCATCGCGTGTCTCCTCTTGGGTCTTTGAGTCACCGGTCAGAGTATCCTGCACGTTGTAGGCGTAACTGTACTGTGGGTGTGGGTCAACAATATCTGAAGCGACAGCTAGTGGTGCAGGAGCGGCTGCGGCAACTAATGGAGCAGGGGCGGCAGCGAGCGGTGCGGCAACTGGAGCAGCAAAAGCGCGGGGAGCAAGAAGTGGTGCTGGCGCAGCGGCGAATTGTCTGGCAACAACTGGTTTCACAATGGGTGCAGGAGCAGCAGCAGCAACCAAAGGTGCTGGAGCAGCGGCATAACGAGCGTAGAAGGGGGCGGCGGCATAGGCAAATGGTGAAGCAGGTGCGGCAGCATATGCGAGGGGCGCGGGACCAGCAACAATACCAGCATTGGCGGAGAGTGCCAAAGTGGACAGAACAGCGGCAAACTAAAAGTTTGAAAAGAAGAAAGATATTTTTTAAAATCGTTTTTAACTTTGAAAAAACGGACACGCGAATTGCGAACACGACTGGCGAGGCGGGGCGAATGGCAGAGCTTTGAGCGCGCTTTGGCTGCGTTGGTAATCCAAGAATCCCTTGCTTTGGCTGCGCTTCTGCTTTTCGCTCCAACAGTCGTAATCAAAGTGCCCGTTGCCTGAGGGGTGTGCGATATGCGATCGAGGATGCAATGATCGCCAAATCCATTAAATGTAGTACTTACAACAAATGGACTCATTGTGTGCTTAAGCTGATTAGATTCTCACTGTCGGTTGATTAAAATAAAACTGACATACTTTTTCCAAAATCGCGACGCTTTTTATACCCAAAAAATTGAGCGACTCGAGCGCGCGCTGATACCACGACTAGAAGACTCGAAGCAGAGCAGAAAGACGGTTTCCAAAAAATTTGAATATTTGCTCTGTGCTCTACTACTTGACGACGCCGCAATTACCACCCCACCCCCACCTCGAACGATACCACAACTTCAGGTGTTGCGGATCGCATAAAATTGTGCTCTCGAAATTTTTTTTTGTTTTTCAATTTTGTAGATTTTTTATTTTAATTTGTGTTTTTTTTTTTTAACCATTCGTCGTGAGCAACTCATATGAGTGTATGACCTCTTCACTTCGAGCGATTCGAGTGACACTTTGCACACGAAGGGCGGTTGGTGTTAATTCAAGAAGCTAAACACGAAACCAGCCAACAACCAATGGCCAATCAACGAAAAGTATACATTTTGAAATTCTACTAGCAAATGCTGGGCACGTAAATCGGGTAAAACCGCTGCAACGCTAGCGCGCAGGCAAGTAGGTACATATGTATGTACATTAGGGTGGTTCAAAAATACATGTGAAAAAGTAAAGTCCGACTTTTAATGCGCTCACCCCCTAGGACTCTTCTATACCTAAAAAAATGTAACCCCGTTTTTTTTTTACTTTGAAATCAAAAAATATTTAGAGGTCGCTCAGCGTTTTTCATGTATTTTATATGGGAAAAAAACGACTTTTCGTAGAAGTGATATAGAGTTCCTAATAATCGATATTTCCGATCGGAAAACTCCGTTTCTCTGCAGCATATTCCCAATAATAATACTCAATTGTTTATTTAACCATTTTTTTCATATTAACTATAATTTATAGGTCCACCGAAAACCCCCAAAAATCCCGAAAAATGCAATGGGGGGACCAATAAACGATCTTTAGTATTAAAAAAGGTTAAAAATAAACAATTGTTTATTACTTTTGAAAGTCTCCTGCAGAGAACCTAATTTTTCCGATCGAAAAATATTGATTTTCAAGAATTTTGTACCATTTCAACGAAAAGTTTTTTTCTCCCCCTTATAAAATACATGGAAAAATTTGAGCGCTTTGAGCGACCTCTAAATATTTTTTGATTGCAAAATAACAAAAAGAGTATAAATTTTTCGATATAGAACAATCCTAGGCGTTGAGCGCATTAAAATTCCAGCTTTACTCTTTTTGGACCACCCTAATGTAAATACTACTATTGCCCACTGCTGTGTGGGTGTATGCGAATTACGATGCTATCAACAAGGTAATAAGTAAGCGTGTTGCACTCACGCACGTGGCTGACAAGCAAGCTACTCGAATCCAAAGACCTCTGCGGTGTGGCAGCACGCTCCATGGTGGTGACGTGGCAAATCGAATCTAATTATTGATATCGGCCGCGAAAGCGCTAACCAACGCATATCTCGATAATTGCAATTCGATGCATGTCAACCCGAAATTGAGAGTTTTCTCATTTGTTTTTTTTTTGGAAATGTATGTTGTACGTACGCTGCTAAATATAAAATGCACATACTTACTGTTAATCTGCATAAATAAATAACCTCTACCTATGGTATTCAGTGAGTGCTAGGAAATGCACAAAGCTAATAAAATCAAAAATAAAAAAATAAAAAATAAAAAAATAGATCGCATTGATTATAAAATAATTTCATTCAAGTGCTACGAATTTTTGAGTTTCATTTAAGCAATGGAATTAATTTGTTTTTTTTTTTGTTTGATTAGGTTTTATTTTTAACGTAAATTGGAAAGCTCTGCGCCGAGTTGCATACTAAAGTCGTCGCAGAAAACATGTCGAGCATAGGAAATCCACAAGCGAAAAATAATAACGCAAACTTAAAGGAATTCAAACAAAAAAAAAAAAAACAAATAAAATAAAAGAAGAACGAGTACTTGAAAGAATTCAGACCTCATTTGGTGTTGTAGAGTTCGTTTAAGACAATAAGGAAGAATTTACTTGCGAATTGCTAAATAGCCTTAAATTTGCAAGCATTTTTGTGCAATCAAAGGGTGGGCCATATAGTGGTTTCGTTTTAAAAATTTAAAGGAAATAAAAAAATACTTTCTTTTGGTATATGCTACGTACAGTTGGGGCCGAATTGAGTACACGGTAATTTTTTGTTAAATATGTATTTGCAAGGTTTTTAAAGTAAAATTTTTTGTTATTTTTTCATAAAAATATGGTTCATGCTTTAATCAAAACCATATAAATCAAACTTTCAAACCTTATGCAGAGCTTAGAAAAATTAAAAAAAAGAATGTTCATTAAAATTTCAATTTTTTAATCTTGTCTGATTTTTGGAGTATGCAGCTTGGTAGCCCATTAAATTTTAGTATAACAAAAAGCTAATTTAGTTTTAATCACAGCAAAAGGATGGTGGCCACGAAACCCATATAAACTATGAATATCCTATCAATGATGACGAAATCTAGGTGACTATAGCCGATTATTTGGAAATTAAAATATCAAAAAAAATTTGACTCAAAAATAAACAAAAAATATTGCGCCTAGGAGGCCACACCACTGAAGTGAAACTTCTCTAAATTTTTACCTCCTTCGCAGCACACCTACATAGCAATAGAGAAATGCGTTACTTATCGATTTTGACATCTACCCGATTTAGGAATATATCGAAGCAAATTGCTGGGTGTTGAAAAGCTTAGGTATTCATCTCTCAACACATCGCTGACAAAGCCTTAAGGAATGCCTGGTCTAAGCCTTCTCTAGTCAAATGATCAGATGTCTCATTAACAGTAAGTTCAAAATTTAGTCGAGTTTTGCATTGCCGAAATAGCTTGGAAGTAGTAAGATCGCTGGCCAATACCTTGAGCGCAGCTTAATTGTCACTACAGAAACGTAAACTCCGACTTCTCCGTTTATTTTCCTCAATGTAGTCCATGGCCTTGAGGATTGCAAATCACCCGGCTTGAAATACCGAGGCATGTTTGCCTAGAGAGAAATGAAGATTGTCCCCGTTACTTTAAATACAGAGTCCAGATCCTTATCCTGCGTCAGTTTTGGAGCCATGAGTAAAGACTATACAACATGTAAAGCCGGGCTTGCTAATGGCCTCAGGAAACTCAATATTGTAGTAGCTCTTCAGCAAAGGAAACGGTGGCGTACTATCCAGTGCAGGGACCGAACATAACAAATATTGATAAAAACTGTCATTGAAAAACTAACTATGAAGAAAATGTTCTACAACTAAGTGACGCATACCAATCGATTTCTTTTTTCACCGAGAATCAAATTTGAAAATAAATTTTTATGTGTACTTTTTATGCAAAATTATTAAAAAAAAAAATTGATTTTGATTTTTTTTAATAAATGCAAAATAAAAATTATTTTTGATTTTTACCTAAATAATCAGTTATTTTGATTTTTATATTATATGTCTTAGACATCAGTTATCGAAGACACTTATTTCTAAAAGTCATCAATAAAAATCAGTCAGTGACTTTTACTTGTAAAAGTCGTCAGTATAAATCAGTCACCGACTTTTATTTTTTAAGCCATACGTATAAAAGTCATTATAATTTTTCGCAGTTAAGAAAGTGTTGGAGAACAAAAGTTTACAAATGACTTTTTTAAGTATGATTTTAAAAATAAAAGTCAATCACTGATTTATATTGATGACTTTTAAAAGTAACAGTCACCGACTGATTTTTATGTATGACTTTTATAAATAAAAGTCTTCAATAACTGTTATATAAGACATTTAATTTAAAAATAAAAAATAACTGTTATTTGCAGATTATTTAGATAAAAATCAAAAATAATTTTTATTTTGGATTTATAAAATAAAAATCAGAAATAACTGTTACTTAAGGAGTAATTAAATAAAAGAAAGTAAATAACGGTTTAATAGCGATTTTTTTATAAAGGTCTATTTTATTTCTTTTTTTTTTAATTAATTGTTTTTCTTTTTTAGATTTAATTTTTTTTATAATTTTTATATTTTATTGTTTCAAAAAGAAAAAAAATTTATTTCACTTAATTTTTAGAAACTTATTTTATTTATTGTTTCCTTTTTTACGTAATTTTTTTAAGTTATTTTTTATAGTTTTTAGTTTTTATAAAAACAAGCATATTTTTATTTGATTAAATTTTTAGAAAACTTATTGCTAAAAGACAAACAGAATAACGCTAAGACCTCCTCACTAGCAAATCTTGCAACTTGTCTTTCGAAAGACAGAAAAGAGCTTTCAAGACATTTGTCAGAATTGCCCTGTAAAACAACAACGGAAGCGAGTTGAGCTTCGTTTCGTTGTTGAGAGCAAGTTTGACGGAATCTTAAGCTATTTGGGATTTACTAGATATGTATTTATGTATGTACTATTCAAAACATGAATTCAATTGTGAGCATAAAATCATGAGCAATAAAATTATATGTTTTGTATTTATTGATTTTTGATTAATTTTTTGACAATTAAAAAAAGACTAATGGCTTACAGCAGTTTATATTGCAGATTTAAGAAAATTTGCAAAAAAGTAAGTTTCAAAATCTCTCAATTAAACTAACCAAGCAGCGGAACAAAAGTTTCAAAATTAAATCACTTAAGCGGCGAAATAATCACAACTAAATTTGGAGTGAATTCGGTACAAAAATTTCCTTTTAATTACCACTTAAAATGTACTTTGCGTTATCTCAACAATAAACCACGCTTTGAACGCATAAGTGGAAACATACGCATGCGCGCAAAAAAAAAAAATCCCAAAAACCAAGACAAAAAAAAGCCAACATTCCCGATGCCAGCAGCTTTGTTGTTTTATTTTTTTTTGCATAAATGTTACGTTTAGGCCATGTTATTGTGCGTGACAATTTTAACTAAACCAACGACCTTGTGTTGTATTGGCCAAATACCAAAGTACGAGTACTTCGCCACAATGATGCATTGCATTGTCTATGCAGCCAAGCAAACGTGGTAGCTATGTATGTATAAGCATTCATACTAGTATGTACTATGATTGTATGTATACAATGCACATAAATATGCACAATATATATGTACATATATTATTAATAGTGCGTATTGTATTAAATCCCTTGTTTACATAGTTGGCACTGAGGTTATCGATGTTAAATAGGGAGAGTTTTCCAATACCATGTTTTGGCCTCGAAAATCGGTATTGCTTTAAATAGT